TAGATGTACTCTTTATTTTATTAAAGCAAGCAATGAACTTCCTAAATTTTACAATGTTTGTGATTTAGCAGGAGAAACATTACTTCCTTATTCAACATTTATCTTCATGAATTCATGGATTCTGAATTCAGTTTTCGGAATTTGAGTCTCAAAATAGCGTATCCGTACATTGTTCTCGTTTTGGTGAGCTCCTTTAAATGATTCACCCTGTTCAGCATTTAACATTTCTTTACAGCTACGAATGGCCATTTAACACCTACCCTGTCGAATTACTCAAATTCTCTTCATATTACATTTGTTAAAACGAATTTCAACTCGAATAACATCTTCCCATGAACTTATGGAAGAGACTGACGCCTGACTTAACCTTTTCAAATCGAGGATCAGTTCTTATTTATTCTAAATATCCTAATAATTTTGGCTTTCGCTTCTTCTGTCACTGCCATTAGCAAAACACAATTTTGTGAACAATATATATTTCATCCCTATCTCCATAAAATGAGCTTATTTAATATCTAGACATATTTAGATTAGACTGAAATATCTATACATAATTCCGATGGAAATTCATTATCTTTTCAACAACTAAACACGCAAGTTTTTACTGTGATAAGTGACGCACTTGATAAAAACAAGGACACAGTGAAAATCGAATGACGTAACAATACATAATTTCGCTTTTTAGACAACACCCATGACCTGGCTAGCCAAAAGAGGAATCATATCAGTTTAGAGAAGAATGTAGATGAAGCAATTACCATGAGGATTAATGCAAAGAAATAAAAACTAGCAAACTGATTATGAATATAAGAAGGTCTATAAAACATAAAATTAGACGGTGGGCAGGAACTTCAACTTGTGAAACAATTCAAATATCATAGCTCGAATATCAGGGAAGAACATATAGAATATAGGTAATTTCAAGACCTGCAGAAACGGTTGAAGAAATGGTGAACGTAAAATATTCTTCTGGAAAGACATCGACTTGAAAACAAAGAAATGAGTTTTGCCTACATTGACTGACGAAATTATTGACATTAATTATTTGACATTAGTTAGAGTTACAGCAAAGTTTTCAAGCATTGAAAATGAGATGCAGTCGAGAAAACTTATCGACATTATACGTAGACGAAATTACAAATAACGCAGGTTTTGAGAAGGCAAGAAACAACTCGGTTGGAAGCCCGCATGACCACCGGCAAAGTGTGGCCAGGTCAAGGGAGACAACAAACTTTCAAATTCTATAATGCAAGATAATCACTGAAGCAAATACAACTTTGTCCCGACAAGAGTATGACGATTAATTACATTCGGTAACAAAGCATCTGATCAGAATGTTTTGAAAGGCGTCAAACCACGTATTGTTATTGTTCTTAGATACAACCTAACCCCGGGTGGTATCACCTGTTGGGGTACTATCTATGAGAAAATAGTTAAAACAATACGAAAATATAAAAAATACATTTTTATAGTGAAAACACCAGAAAAACTATTTTCATGTTTAAAAGAAAAAATATTACCACCAATATATTCTTGTAAATAAAAAAAAATTACTAATGCTCCCAAAATATGCCGGCATTAAATGACCCATAAGTAGTCGATATGTCGCTAAAAATGACAAACAAAAGTGTCAGATAAAGCAACAAATATCAGTGCAGTACAGTACTGAGTGAACTTGATTATTATTTAAAGGTTCTAAGATACCGGCATGCAACTGAGATTGTGGAAGAAGCTGTTCAAGTTTAGATTGACTGTAGAACGGCCTTACAACCACACCCGGTCATAGGAACAGGTTGGTTGTTTCTGTTTAGTGACATATCAAAGATCGTGATGATGATGCCGGAACATTAAGAAAGTCGTAAAAGCGATAACATTAAAATAAAGTTAAATCATACCTGGACATCTTCCTAGGTTGATCTTTAGCAATTAACTCTACTTTAACTCAGGATTTAAAGCTTCTTTGGAATCTACTTTGAAAACACTCGAGGCAAACAACAGGGAGTTACTTTTTTTTTAAAAAAACACAAAAAAAGTAACATTTTACCAGTATTCACGAAGTTGCAACTTCTTTTTTATGAAGAAAGTTTCAGGCGGATATTCTTTTTTCTTAAAAAGTGTTCTTATTTATTTAGCTTCTTTCTTTTTCTTTTTTTCGTTAACAACTGGGATCTAAATACTTTTTTTTAAAAATAGTCTCCGGGAAAAAGTGAAAGATCTTTACATAGCTTGTAGGTCACACATCCGAGAAAGGTAAACTTTCTTTATTATTCTTTTTGTTGGATAAAAGCTGGTTTATAAAAGGAAACCGTATGTAATAAAAAGGTAAAAAACAAAATAATGAAAATTGTAAATTGATAGTTAAGCGTAGAAAAAGAAAAGTAAACGGAAAAGTTGAAAGAGCAAGAAAGTTAAAGAAGGAGAAAGAGAGAGATAGTAAGAAAGAGAGAGAAAGAGAGAGATAGAAAGAAAGAGAGAGAAAGAGAGAGATAGAAAGAAAGAGAGAGAAAGAGAGAGAGAGAAAGAAAGAGAGATAGAAAGAAAGAGAGAGAAAGAGAGAGATAGAAAGAAAGAGAGAGATAGAAAGAAAGAGAGAGAGAAAGAGAGAGATAGAAAGAAAGAGAGAGAAAGAGAAAAGTATTGATAAAATAATGTTTAAGTAAAACAGGAAATAAAATGAAGATATTGTAAAGAATAAATAGAAACTAAGATTTGTTCGAGAAAACAACGAAGCAAGAAGGAAATCCGAAGAAGGAAATGGTAAATACGAAATAAATAAATCGTAAAATATTAAAGGCTAAGAAAGACATTACGAGAAATGAAAGAAATGAATGAAATTGAAAGTTTTAACCATCAATGTAAGAAAAACCAGTAAAGACATACAAGATGCTTTCAAACAGGTAAGGAAATAATGTAAAATAAATATTTTAAAAATATAATTAGGAAAGTAAATTCACTTCAGAAGAATGCTAAAGTCATTTCAATTTCAATAGTAAATTTGAAATTGAAAAAAAAAACACAATGTCTGCCAAAGGTGCTTTAGGGAAATGAGGGAATATGATAAAAAAAATTTTTATGATGAAATTGAAAGAGATATAAAGCAGAAGGTCATTTCTTCCGGTGATTTTAATCGTTAGTTTCATAGAATTGTCTCGATCTTAGTTTAATTACTTCACAATACGTAGTAAACATTTCATCAATAGAAAGATAAAAAACAATTATGGATTAAATAGGAATTTTATCTCCAAAAATAATTATGCTTTCAAAAAAATAATTTTAATGTAATAATCACTCGCAAAAATAATTATTATTCAGACAATTCAAATTATAACTCGGTTTTAAATAAGCATCAAGGAGTTGATAAGCCCAAAGAAAAACAAAAATAACATATCAGTCAAGTGTAAGTTTTATTTCTTCTATATGTAATGTACTTCCAGGACATGAGCACTCTTTGTCCTTCATAGCAAATTATCTTTTGTAGCTTCAAGTACCCCCCTCTGCCATCTATTCGCACAAAATGATTCAGTAGTTTTCTGTTTGTTTCACTCTGTTTTCCTACATACAGTATGCCGTCTGCGTATTAATTTCACCAACACTTTATTCCTCATTGTGGTTTCTAACTGTCTATAACTGATGGTATGGGACCTTTCATTAAAAAGTAATATTAGTCACATGCTTTGTCCATGTTATTCTGAAAATTGTTCTCTATATACTAGACTTCTGTTGTTTCAGCTCTCCATTATATCTATGACTAATCTGAAGAGAAAATAAATTAAAATAAATGGTACTTATAGCATAGGATATTAAAACGTTGGTTTGAGAATTTGTTGAGATATTAATTAGGATTTCAATCATTGGGCCGGAGTGTGTGGTCTTTGACTCAGTGCAAACTGTGGAAGTAATAACTGAACTGTAGCAGATGCGTGTGTGCTGGAGGATGACTTTGTTGTCTATTCAGCATATGGGGACCGGTTTGCCAGAGGAGTTTCTTTGCTTGTCAGACGGACTCTTGATGCGAAGGTGGACCTTGTGCATACCGATGCCGAGGGGCCGGTTGATCGGCCGATATTGCCGTGAAAAGTGGTTCGTTCCGAGTCGTTGCGGTTTATGCGCCCAATGACCAGGAGGAGCGGGTCTCGTTTTTTCCGGCGGTTGGGGCCGTTCCTGGTTGATTCAACGCGCCTAGTTTTAATGGGGGACTGGAATGCCTTTCTGGACCCCGACTTAGACAGGGGGGGGTGCTAGTGGGAGAAGGGACGATCGTAGCCTGGTTGATCTGATCGACGATTATGGTCTCGTCGATAGATACCGGGTCGATCATCCAGGGGGAACATGTGGACGTGGGCTCTTAGTTGGCCTTCTGAAAAGGTAGTTAGCTACCTTGACAGAATGTTAGTGAGAAGAGCCGACATAGATCTGTTAGATTGCCTTACGTTCCACTGGGTAGGCTACACGGACCACAAACTCGTTTGTGCCCGTGTAGCGTTAGATCATAGGCCTAGAATGGCTGGCTACTGGAAGTTCAATCTGTCTTTACTGGACAGGCGGGACTTCCGGGAACAGCTAACTAGACTAGTGCAGCGGGAATTAGGGGCGGTTATCGGGAATAAGTGGTGGGAACGCCTTAAGTCTAGGATTAGGTCTTTCACCACTGATTTCAGCAAACGGCTCGCTCTAGATAGAGCTGATAAGGTGAAGACACTTAAAGCTAGTTACACCTGGCGGTGGCTGGGGGATCCCCTAGAGATAGCCTTAGCTAGGGCGGCCCTGGATCGTTTGAATAGCGAGCGGTACATGGGCCAGGTAATTAGACATAAGTTAAGTAAGATGTCTTCCGAAGCTGTGAACTTGGGCGCAGATCTGCGCAGGGAAGAGGTCCGTCGAGGTGGCGATCGTTTCATTCGTGAATTCAAATCCCCGGAGGGGCACACTCTTCGGGCCACTGACGACATGTGCGAGGCGTTTCGGCGCCATTTCGGGAACCGGTTTACCAAGGAGCCTGGTCTCCGTGAGGAGGAGTTTCGCAGCTATTTGGTTGACTTTCCTCGGCTTTCGCCGACTGAAGCGGCTAGCTGCGAGGGAGAGATTACGGAGGGCGAAGTCTACGTGGTTTTGAAGAAGGTCGGCAGAGGCAAGTCGCCCGGTCTGGATGGTTTGCCCTATGAATTGTAATTGAGGCTGTCGCACATCTTTGTTCCGATTTTGACAGCAGTGTTCAACAACTGGTTTCGGTCGGGGGTCCATCCCCAATCGGATTACCAGGGCGTGATCACTCTGTTGAAAAAGGGCAAAGGTGGTGGGGGGAACCTAGATGATTATAGGCCCATAACTCTGCTAAACACAGAGTTAAAGATTATGGCCAAGATCCTGCAGGAACGTTTGCAGTCAGTTGCCGAGTCTCTGTTGGGACCAGAGCAGACTTGTTCTGTGAGGGGCCGAACAATTCAGAGCAACCTGCATCTGATCCGCACGATCATAGAGGGTGTAAAAGACGACGAAGAAGCCGCGCTGATCAATTTGGATCAGTCCAAGGCATTTGATAGGGTTGACCATCGCTACCTTGCTACTGTCCTGCAGGCCGCTGGATTCGCACCCAACTTCTGCCGCTGGATTAGCCTCCTGTATCGCTCCCCAGTGCTGTGGTACAGGTGAACGGAAGGTTGTCGGACGCTTTCGTGCTGTCTAGGACGGTTCGTCAGGGATGTCCGCTGTCGCCTCTCCTTTATGCTTTGGCGTTGGAACCTCTCCTTCGTCGGCTGAAGGACGAGACCGGCAGTCCGGCCCTACGTGGAATTGCCGTGCCTGGAGGGCTCGAGCCAGGGTTTCCGCGTACGCCGATGACGTATCTGCTTTCGTGTCGTCCCGCAGCGACATTGAGGCGGTACAGAAGGCGCTTGATCGGTACGAGAAGGTGACAGGGGCCAAGATAAACCGCGACAAGTCGTCCGACTTGCGGTTAGGTGCCTGGAAGGGGGTCGATCTTCCGGGCCGCTTCGGTTGGACGGACGGTCCTGTCCGCATTCTTGGAGTGTGGTTTGGGGCCCGACCTCCAGCTGGAGAAGAATTGGTCTGAAGTACGTGCAAAGGTCGATTATGCCGGTCAGACTTGGAATCGACGGCGGTTGTCCGTGAAGGGCAGGGCGGAGGTGTGTGTTACATACATTTTCCCCTGATTCTTTATCGGTTGTCCGTACTTCCTCTCTGTAAAGACCGCAGGAAGGTGCTCGAGCGATCGCTATCCTCCATTTTATGGAGGGGACGCGTGAATAGGGTCGACAGACGAGTCTGCACCAAACGTCCGTGTCATGGGGGCTGGGAATGCCGCACCTTATGAGTCACATCCGTGCCTATAGGTTGGCTTTCCTACGCCGCGCATTGACTAGAGGAGATCCGATTCTGGAGGGGATTGTTAGGGACGCCTTCCTAGCCTTACTATCAGTCCCCCATCTCGAGGGCCGAGCGCCGTTGTAGGCCCCGGGATGAGTCGGATTTCATCCGCCAGTGTCGGTTGGCCTTGAAGGCCATTCCCCGGTCCAGTGACCTTTCACGGCCTAGGACAGTCTTCTATCGTGGTTTAGTGGAGGGTCGCGCGAAGGATAAACTACGTGATACGCTCGGCTTGTCGGAGGAGGAGTATCGCTCCCTATTGGTCTTGGGCGCCAGCGGCGGATTACCTCAGTAACCCTGAGTTTTCGCTTACCTGGCGATTGGCTCGGAATCGGCTGCCTCTCAATGACAAGGCTTTTCATATGGGGTTTGGCGGATTTGCCAGACTGTGAACGGTGTGGTCTTGGTTTAGAAGAAACGGCTGCGCACGCCTTCTACCATTGCCCCTGTCCCCCCTTATGGGACCATGTCGGCGAGCTGACGGCTCGTCTCGCTCCCGAACAGCTAGTGTCCATTGATCGCGCATACGCGTGTGACAATGTGTCGCCCCTGTATTCCGGGGAGAAACGAATGGTGTTTCTGATGCTGATGGCCACGGCTCGAATGGTGATTGGACGACGCGAATGGAGGAAGTCTTGCGGGGCAACCGTCTTTCTTATCAGCATCTAATCCAATTCTTTGAGCATCAGCTCAAGATGAAGATTAGATCTGATAGAAAACGATTGCGACAGTCTTCAGCGAAAGGTGGGTAAAAGTAGCAAGATTCTGCCTTTTTTAGGTCAACTGAGTAGCACATCGGGGGGGCAGAATACAGCGGCTTCCTCTGTTTTGAGGGTTGGCCGTATCCCTGCTCTTTGGTTATGGTCCAACGAGATTCCCAATCCCCAGTTTGTTTTATCTCGTTTCAGCTTTTGATTACCCATTGTGTTTATTTTTCTTTTATTATTAGCGAGAGGCTTTGATTTTTCATCTCCTTCTGTTTTGAGGGTTGCATCCTATCATTATGTTTATTTTGAATTTTGTGTATATTTTTTTATTTTATAGTTCATCTTTATGTATTGTATCATTATTAATTTTTTATAGAATTTTTTCATCATCCAATTTTTATGGTTTGGGGCGCGTTTTGGTAGGTCCCCTTGTGAGAATCCGGTATTATGGTGCATGAAGGATTGAGTGGTGATGGACAAGTTCTTGTGGTGAATGAGTAAATTGTAACGTATGAATGGGTCGTGAATCAGATTAGCTAGGTATAAGATAGTTAGTGATGACCGGCCTACACCCCCTCCCCTTTCGGCCTTGTGCCACAATTCTGTAAATAACGGAATAAATATCCTAGGATATATACACAACCACTAGTTATATACGTATATCAGAGGTGTTACTAGTTGTTTTTGTCCAGCATCAGTTGTT